GACTACACGAGATACTATGCCGGGTATTAAGCACTCCCCGGAGACATACCGACTGCCTCCGCGTACGGGATGCTATCGCGTCCGACCCGATGCCGGCAATACTGGCTGAGCGGTCAGTCACGGTGCCCCGCTATTACTAATTGCCTCGCTATTACTAACTGCCCATTACTGACTGCCTGGCTGCCGTCGTTTTTTCTTGTTTTATTGTGCTCGTACTTTCAACGCCGGTTCTAGTACCAAGGTCGTGTTTTCGCTGAGTTTGTAGTCTTAGGCGTTATTGGGTCACGAGTATTGTTATTTTTCATAACAATAGTTTCTGTTTGACGTGCTTTTTCTACTTTTAAACAATTAACAAACAATGCACTAACTAGGTCAATTTCTTTGTGTAACCTAAATGTATACTTTCTGTATTAATTCTCCCTTATTAAATTTGGAATATATAATAATTATCTCGTATAGTTATTATATTTTCTATGCTACTTAGCCCTTATTTTTTCTATTCTTCACTCACTTGCTATGTTTACATTACATATATTTTGATACTGTAAAAACAATTTTACAGTATCAAAAAAAAATGTTTTTAAATAATAAAGTTACCTGATAAATCAATATAGGCCTTATGTTTGTTGTATTCCAGCACACTTTTAGGCTTCAATAATTTACCTGAACGTCTGTTGACCACCACCATTTCCGGTAAAAATTTTGTATTTAACATTAGGACATCCCTCTTGTCCTTGTATTTTTCTACAAAAATGCCAGACTTTAGTGCAAACGTATTGCTTTCTTCTGCAATATCTTCTCCACGTTTTAATTTGGCTTGCAAAACAGTTTTTGGGTTTAATTTTCTGTTGCTACGAAGAGTTCAAATTATATGGGTATTATTATCTAGCGATTTATGTGTCAATTCTACTGATGTGTAATAATTGTCCACTACAATGGTTCTTCCCCTGTTTAGCAAATCTATGGTTAAGTCAGAACAACCTGAGATGGAACAGAATACTCTTCTGAAACCTCTTTGTCTCTTTCACAGTACACCTTTAGGTCATATAAATAACCCCCCTCCAAACACAGTTTAAAAAGTTTAATTCCAAATTTAAATCGTTTATTCGAGATATATTGCTTAAACTTTAGCTTTCCTTTGAAAGGAACAAGTCCCAGCAAACAGACTTGAGCCCAGTTACGTGATGATTACGTTAAATTTACGGCGAATTTCAACGAATACGTAACTCGGTGATTTAAGACGAAAAAAAAACGTATTTCAGTGCCAAATCATTCACCTATATATTACTGCTTCTTTTATACATGTTTGACATTAGAATAAATATAAAATCTTAATGCAAAATATAGTACATGTTTTTTATAATAGTTGTGAATGTCGGTTACATTGCAAAGCTACGTGTTGGTTAGATACGTATTGCTTGAATTTTCCTCACTGTGTTTTATGGACGTCGAAAAATTAGGTGTATTTCACGTAAAAGTAACGTAAATAATACCAATATTAACAAAAAGTTTTTGATCTCGCTTTTAAAAACATTTAGCCTACCTATTTCAATCCTACTACTACTTAGAAGCTATTTTTTTTATTTAAAAATATGACAGGACCTAATATAATTTATGTTGAGCCTTTGTTGAGTCTAATTTTCAAATCGCGCGCGGTGATGACGTACTTCCAAGCTTTTTCTCCTAGTCCTAACGAAGAAGAATGATTATAACAGAGACAACAGATGACTTGTCTCTGATTATAACCTCTAAAATCAGCTTTTCTCAAAAGTCAAAACGTGAAACGAAATTTTCCCTCGTTTTATTTTAGCTTATATATGTACATAGTTTATGTCTTTCGTATTAATAGAGTTTGATGAGAAAGAGGGAGCTGTGCTCTGTTGCTGTGGTGCACCAGAACTGGCTCACTCCAAGAAAAAAGGAAGTATATTTGCCTCCTTATAAAACTCAAGCGCTTTACGATAAAGCAGTAAAGAAAGGGGATAGTTGCACAGAAGATTGGCAGTTATTTACGGTGAAACGTATTTTTAGATACTATGGTATGTATACAAGTATAATTATTTTGAAAAAAAAAATAAAAACCTTGTTTCAAATTAATTTATCTGTTGGGATCTGCTAATTTTTATAAAATATTCTGAAGATAGCTTTGAAAAAGCTCAGGTCAAAGCAAAAGTAGCTGAAGTTACATCAGATCTACAGTCAGAAGTCGATGAGGTAAATTCAGAGAAGAAAAGACAGAGAATCAAACCACGCCGGTTCATTTATAGTGACACTGAATCTGAAGAGGATTCATTACCACGACCACCGAAAATTTGTAAAGGTAAATAGTTACATATTGTTTATGGTTATAAGTTATAAAGGCTTTATGTTTTCAGCTGTTCAGGATACCTCTTCACACACCCCAAGAAGCTCCACAAACACGTGTTTCATCTATAACAATATATTCGGCAGGTACTATGGAAGCTTGAAAAGTTTCCTGTAACTTTGATAGTAAGGGACCGATTTTAGCCTGTCGTCCATATTAGTTTGTTCGTTGTTCGTAAAATGCCACATTTTTAACAAAACTTGAAAGCGGTTTCTAGACAAAACACGTTTTAGTGACTTTTCATACAAACTTTTTTTTTGGCCAGTAGGCATAAAGGGAAGGGAGCTGAACTAATCTTATACACATAGGGCATCCTAGAAATGCTTACATTTTATTCTCCTTGGTGTCTTTCCAAGTTTGAACTAGGGAGTGTTTAAAGGTATTTTTAGCTTTTTGTTGATGTGCATAGATATTTGTGTCCCGAACAAATAATTGAATAATTTCATCTGTTATCATCATTTTGTAAAAAAAAATATGGAGTCTGTTCATATTGTTCGTAAACAGTTGCCTTGAATCCTGAATCATTTATAGTAACAGGAATATTTTTCGAACAATTTCCTGTTACCTGGCCCCATTCAACATTTATTATTGGCGAGGGTTCAGATTCATCATCAATATAGTCCATATGTTGTGCTATTACTGAGAAACGTTTACTTGTTGGTCAAATTTTATAACTTGTGTTACCCGCTGATATGTTTAGTCAAAACTAGGCAATCTTGTTCTTTTTTTTGCGTCACGGGATAATCAGAATCAGAACTTTCGCTAACTTAGGAATCGTAGTCGCTTATATCCGACGAAATATTGTGTTCATCTATAGAAAGAACTTTATCCCACAATTTCCGCAATCTTTTATGTTCACATTCATATTCACCCATAATTCACAAACTAAACTCGAAACTAATAAATTCACAACTTACACGAAAATATTCATAAAATATCACGTACGTATTTTATAACCTCGCCGGACTGCAGTTTCCACGATATTATCAGTCTAAACACGAAAACGCGTCAAACACTCATGCTTCAAGTGTAGGACACGCATATCCCCGACGGCCGTTTTGAACAAAAAAACATGTGTTATCGCCATGGGGGACAAATGCTGTCAGACAAAAAATTTTTTTGTTTAAAAAATATTAGTTTATAAATAAAATAAGTTATTCGTGTGTTTAAAATAATAAAAAAGTTTCAAATAAATTAAAAAACGTAGCCGGCCAATATGGAAAGTTTAATATGATTTCCATTGCGGCACTTTACGTGTTAATAATAATTTCTTCAACTTTTGAAAAACGTTTGGTTGTAATATCCTTTTTAGTCATACCTGTATAAGTGTCGTGGAACAATATGTTTGTTTATTTACAATTATCCATACAAAGTTATTATCGGACGGAGATTCAACAAAATGTGGGTTTTGAATATTTATGTATATAAACTTACTACTGATTATGCAACCGCCTCAACAAATCTCTACTGTTAGACATTTTCTTTTAACCCCAATTCTTGGCAAGGAAGTGAAATTTAAAGCATTATTGTGTATTCACTTTATTTAGTAATCTTTCTTAATCTTGTAAATGATAATTGTTCTTCCGCCTTTTATAATCGGCAAATTATATCTTCGATCGTCTACCGTTAAATGTATGCGTTAAATGGCTGACTTAATTGGTTGCTCTCTTCTATTCAATAAAATGTTATTGTTATTTTGGATAACATTATTTTCCTCTAAAAACTGTTGTCTTGTGGTATGTTTAAACAAGATATTATTTAATATGGGATTAAACCACAATTGATTATAATAATTAGAATTACATTTAACATTTACTTTCCAATGCAAAATATAGTTTCAATTTCCAATCCGAAAATCGTCCTCAAAGTCTGAAACAAAATTCTAAGTACTCTTAGCCTGTAAATATTTATAATTCTACGATAAATCCTAATGCTATAAATGTTTATAATATAATAACCCATTGTTTTCGTCATTTTTAATAGCCTCAAAGACCTATATTGATATCCCTCTTGGTTTCATATGCAACTTCAAGCTTAGTTGTACTCTCGTATTATGTTCTAGTCTTTATATTAATTTTCAATGCAATATTATCTAGAAACTCCAAATGCATTTAATTAGTGCATTATTATTCTTTGACCTTTGTTGGCTCGAACTTTTCGTGCATGCATTTGTAACATTAACAACTTTATTATCGCGTTTTCTATCACTATTTAATATTGTTTGCTGTTATTGTACCTGTGAAAATTCGTATCAATATATTTTGTTGCTACTACATGGTAAAATTTATTATACTATTTATTATACTACATAGTAAATGCTTTCAGTTTCTTTAATAGTCTTGTCTCTCTTGTGCAAATTACTTGTTTGTTGTTTCTTTTCGTATTCTATTAGTCCGGCTCTTTACTTAAGAAAAAATTATAAATCAATTATATTTTGTCATTAACTTTGCTTTGCTAAATATTTGCTTATCTATGCTATTAATTATTTTTTGTTGAAAGCAATATTATAATAATATTATATTATTTTTTGAATTTTTACACATACTTTCTACTAGTTATGCAATCCTCTTTGCAGACACCAAAACAGACGTTTACCTTTAACCTAAATCCGTGTCAAGGAAGTCGCTTTGAATTTGAAACCTCACTTTCAGGTACACATCAAAGATAATCTAACCGACGACGTAGAGTGCGGGAAGTCGGCCGAACCAAGCAATTTGGATAAACATAGAATCATTCATCCAAGAGGTACTTTTTCGACAACAAGACCTATACGAGTAGTGTTCAAGTATTTGATTATAATGTCTGCAATTGTTGGAGCTCTGGTTGGTCTAGGAGCCGTTGTTGGGTATTTTCTTGGATGGATTTTCCTAGTGCAGTTAGTTATTGTTGCTGCAGTAGCTTACATCGCAGCTGGGCATTGGAGATGGTGGTATGTAGCTGTTATGACTGCTCCCAGAGATTTGAGGTAAGTGCAAACATCTATCTATAAAAACATTAGTGAAAGTTGAATGAACATAACATATCACTACTCTAATAGGATAATTTGTTGTTCATTTACTATCTGTTAATTAGGCTTGAGTAGGTCTTTCCAAATGACAAGTTCTCTTTAATATCTGCTATCATGTGAAGTGTGTTAAAAGTTATTATTTTTGTGTATTTACTAGCTGGTCCTCTATATAAGTGTATAATACTTGCATATTTGATACTTATGGCATGTGACCATAGTATGAAAGTAAGCTATTAACTTATTAAAGTCCATTTTATTTTAATTGTTCATATTTATCATCATATTTGAATGACTTAGAAGTTTTAGAAACAGTCCTAGGAGCTATTGCTATTCATAAATATATTGGCATCATTTAGAAATTTCTTTTTTGAATATCTTTAGAAAAGAAAAATTCTTTGTTAATTAAAGTTCTCTACAATAGTTAATATTTTATTGGGAAGTATATAGTAGTTTGAAGTAGGTATTAGACTCTTAATTTGTTATTATATCATTTTTGATCTCTACGAAAAACCTATAAAGTAGGTCAATAACACTCTTTACAGTATTTAGATAAGAACATAGCAGTTTATTCGTGAATTTCAGACTTTATCAGGATTCTGACTGATGTTTAGAAGTATTTGGATGTAAAATTTCATCTTTTAAGACTTGTTTTATGTTATTGTTGATTCTATAAGCTTTTTGAATTAGTGCCATGTTTTCCAAAAAAAGTCAAAACCATGGATATGTATGTATCATAGTAAGGTAGAGGCACCAGTACCTGACACTCAGAACAGACACAGGCCAGAAAGATACATTTTCTAATATTGAAACGAATCTTAGTCAGATTTTTTTGTTCTTTTAAGCAAAATGTATGATTAAGTTTATTACTAATTGTACATGTGAAAGGAAAGTTGATTTAAATAAAAGTTGCCAAAAAAAAATTATTTTTAAATAGGTACCTACATGTTTTGTCCCCAATACCTGGCATTGCAAATTTTGCAGAATCCAAAAAAATACCCAATACCTGACATATCAAAAAAGGTATTTAAATAAAAAACTTATTTATTCAAATATCTAATTAAAACAGGAAAACTTTTATTATTTCTGAAACTCTTATTTACAATATCAGTATGATCATACCATATTGCATCCTCTTTATTTGGCCATCTCCATGAATTAAAGTTGCTGTTTACCATAACACTAACAAATGCCTCATTTTCTTCTACTTCTTTTACTTTTCCCTGATAGTGTTGATCTTCATAAATAACAATAACATGGTCACTTTCTTTTAAATGAGATTTGTTGAATGTTGGAACAATAGCTGGAATGTCATCACCACTATCAGATTCCAGATTTAATTGCTCATCAGATAGAGATGTTCCAAAATCTGAATTTCGTTTTGTTTTTTTTTTTGCAGAATCTTCTTTTCGTCTCGTTTTCGTTTCGCTCTTGCTTTTCATTTTATTTGCATTCTTTTTCCATGCTTTTTTTGAAATGGTATTGTGTCCACTGAGTGGAAGTTGCAACAGAAGGCAACTTTTCACCAACTCTTTTTTTCGTTTCTTTACAACATGGTTTGTCTGGCCAAAACAATGCCTTCTTACATGGAGTAGGAATTTTTCCATCAATTGGTATATATTTTTCAGGCGATTTTTGAAGGAGACTCTGTTGTATGTTTTCTAAAGTAGTTGTATCATTAACATTAAAATCAAGTTCAACAACTACAACATCGCCACCTGGTAGATTATTATCTGTATCAAAATATGGTTGTGGATCTTTATTTGTATTGCGTTTATCCATGATGTTCTCCTTGTTATCTGAACAGCCTTCTTCTGTAGTTGAGATTTCAGGATCATTTAATTTGGTAACAATAAATGTGTTGAGTTGTTTTTCTTGTTGAGTTTCTTCTACAGGGAATAGATTAGTGTGAATTTCTGTATTATTTGACTTGAAATATTTTTGGTAGTTGATTGCATCTGCGTTGAATGGACACAAACCAGCAGCCTGAAAACCATTCAATATAATTTTTGGAGTAATGGAATTCTCTATGGCTTTTGCTAGAACTGGTCCAAAATTCTCCTTCTTCATTTTTGAACCATTGTTTTGTATTCCCCAATTGTTTACTTCATTTCTCTAGCAATTTTTTATGAGTCTAAAAACTGCTACATCCATGGGCTGCGTAATATGTGTTGAATTAGGGTGCAGTGCAATAAGAATAATTTTTCTTCAGTACATAAAAATATAATTGGAAACTCAATTTCAATTACCTGTTACTTAATAGTTGTTCATAAATATATTCACTCCTTTATAATATTTTTTATTAACCACCCTGTATGTAACATAATAATTCTAAAACTACTGTTATAGAATGTGTTCTGCCCACATCACGAAGCCCACCAACTCCATATCTTCAATTTAAATATATGAAAAAAACATTAATTTTAGCAATACCTCTATATTTTATGTGTAAATGAGATGTAGACACAAAAAACTGTTAATTGTACAAATTTGGTTGTTTTACTTAATATTGTAAGAGTAGAAACACTTATTTCATTTTGGGTTTTGAAAGTCTTTTGAATATTAGGAAAGATTTTTGTATTTTTCATAACCAGCTCTGAATCATCATTATTGTACAGCCTTTAGGGTCCACTACTGAACATAAGCTTCTATCAGTTGTTTCCATTGCTCTAGATCTTTTCTGTGTAAATCTAGTTTGTTGTAACGCTCTTTATATCATTTGTCTACCGTTGTTGGAGGACTATTCCTAGCTGTATATGCCTAAACATGTAGCGGGTAGGAACTCATCTGGATAGTCCTATCAGGGAAAATGAATCAATCCCAGCCCTCCGCAGATTTCAGGGAATTCCTGATCCGGGAAACTAGTACCTGCTTAGGGTCCCTTATCCAGGGTCACGGCACAACGGCAGATACGGCGGAGAAGAATACCTTCGGTACGGCGTGGATGGCGGAAGTGACAATGCCCTGATTTTAGGGATTGTATCGAATCACTCGCCAACCCACTCGGTAAGCGTGGCGTTTTAAATATGCTAAAGTTGAAGATGTCGAGTATCAATACGAAATTACCCCAAGTGAGTAGAGTTATACACTCAGAATCTCGTACTGAGCAATCAGTTATCCTCTTGGATTCTGGGGGAGGCAAATATTCGACTGAATCTAATAAGAAAAACTACCCATCATTTCCTCGTATAGCCACTTACAATATAAGAACTATGAGGACCCAAGAACACCTTGACGAACTAGAACAAGAGCTCTCAAATATCAAATGCGATATAATTGAACTGTGCGAAACCCTCTTACCAGGAGAAGCATTTACTATCTCAAGATCTGGTCACCAGCTATACCAGAAAAACTCCGTAGAAAATTATCGCATAGGCGGTGTAGCGTTCCTGATAAACAAACGAGCTCCCTATAAAGTAACGAAGTCCTGTGCAGTATCAACCAGAGTCATATATCTTGTCATCGCTTTGAACAATAGATACAGCTTACAGATAATACATGGATATGTACCGACAGGAAACTCAACAGACGAGGAACCTGAATCATTTTACGCGGATCTGACAATAGCAAGGAACCAAGAAAAATCACACTTCGTAATAATCACAGGAGATTTTAATGCAAAAATTGGAACAAAATAAAAGGGCGACACACAATATATCGGTCTCTTTGGGCTGGACAACAGGAACGAAAGGGGTGAGATATTGTACAACTACTTAAACAACGAAAATTTATTTTGTCTCAACACTTTCTTTAAAAAATCTAAACAACGTAAATGGACATGTATCAGCCCAGACAAGAAAACTAAGAACGAAATAGACTACATACTCTCCAATATCCATATGCACCGACGTGACAGTACTAAACAAATTCTATACCGGGAGTGACTATAGATTTGTTAGAGCGAATATTATAATACAGACGAGAGTAGAACGAAACAAACTTATTAAACGAGAACGATACCCAACCACCGATGTCCTGTTTCAAAAACAAACGGAATACCAAAAAGAGCTAAGCACAAGACTAAAATCAATAGAGACACTGAAACAAATGGATATAAACGGACTAGCCAGTAAAATAAAAGTAACTGTAACAACATCGGTTAAGAAAATATGCTCAAACACGAAAACAGCCAAAACATCTAAACCTCAACCTAATACAATTAAATTATTCCAAGAAAGACAAAACAGAACAGGTCGAACTTCGGACAGCTTCAAAAGTTTAAACAAAAACGTGAAGAAAGAAATTAGGAACGATCATAGAAACTATACTAACAATCTAATAAAAGGTATAATACAAGATAACTGCAATATGAAAGTACTGAAAGCAAAAAACTCAAGCGGCATAACAAAAATCATAGAAATAAAAAATGAGCAAAACGTTACCGTCCGAGACAGAAAGGCCATTAAAAAATTCTACACTAAATTATACTCGGTAAATACAAAACCACAACAACGACGTACTGATCGAACAATAATTAACACCGGCTCAGAAGAAATACTGGACATAACCGACCATGAAATAAGAATGGCCCTAAATCAATTAAAAATGAATAAATGTCCGGGAGAGGATAAAATTACAGTTGAAATGTTGAAATTTGAATGGATGAAAAGAAAAATGGAACAGGTATTAAATATTTTATTTAATAAAGTAATTGATGAAGGAAAGATTCCTCAAGAATGGTACAACTCCGAAGTCGTTCTACTATTCAAGAAAGGACACAAAGCAAACATCGAGAATTCCCGACCAATATCCTTGATATCACATCTGTATAAATCACTAACTAAAATCATAACCAACCGCCTAACATATAAGCTCGATTTCTATCAACATATCGAGCAGGATTCAGAAAACATTTTAGTACCATGGCACACCGTAAAAACATTAATAGAAAAATGCACTGAATATAATGTTCCAATTCATATGGCGTTCGTCGATTTCCATAAAGCATTCGATTCCATCGAATTATGGGCAGTGCTTGAATCTCTAGAAAATGCACGTATAGATTCAAGATACACTAACATAATTAAAAACATATATGAAAATGCCACCATGCAGATAAAGCTGATTTTTTACTGATAAACGAACGATACAGAAACTCCTTAAAATCCGTTAAAGCTTACCCAGGCGCAGATGTCTTTTCAGACCATAACCCTCTAATAGCGCAAATGAGTATTAAACTAAAAAGATTGGAGCAGAAAAGAAGAGCAAATTAGATAGACGTCAGTCATTTATGTAACCTGGGGGTGAAGGAGAAACTGCAAAAATGTATTAATAATAATTTGAAAATACTTCATGAAAAGAAACATCTTAGCCAACGAACAACATAGCTAAAAAATGGCAAAACGTAAAAATGGCGGTAACAGGTCCTGCGAAGAAAATTCTGACTAAAGAAAAACCAAAAATAAAGAAAAGGTGGATGACTGGTAAGATCCTTCTTCTCATGGACAATCGGATGATAATGAAAGGAAAAAACGAACAAAGGTATAAACAAATACAGAAAGAAATCAAAATAGAAATCAGAATAGCAAAAGAAGATTTTTATAAAAGAAAATGTGAAGAAATAGAGCAATTGCAGGCAAAACATGATATTTTTAATGTACATAAAAAAGTGAAAGAACTTGCAGGTACACAATAACGTAAGCAGCCAAATACCCTGTATAATGTCAACGGAAACATAATAACAGAACTAGAAGAACAGTTGAAGACATGGAAAAACTACATTGAAGAACTCTTTGCAGATGATAGACAACAATCTGAGGTAAGTAACATACAACGAGACGAAGGTCCAGAAATAACGGAAGAGGATGTAATGTACGCACTAAAAAGAATGAAAAATGGTAAAGCTCCAGGTCCAGATGAAATACCAACGGAAATCCTTAAACTAATAGAAAAAGACTCGATTCACATTTTAGTTGAACTTTTCAATAGCATTTATACATCAGGAAAAATACCACAAGAATGGCTTTTATCCACCTTTGTTATTATAGCAAAAAAGATAAATGCCAAACAATGTAGTGATTACCGTACAATCAGTCTGATGAGCCATGTACTGAAAATATTCCTGAAAATTATACACTCTAGAGTACACAGAAAACTGGAAATGGACATCAATAATACCCAGTTGGATTCCGAAATGGACTCGGAACAAGAGAGGCGTTGTTTGCACTGAACGTTATGTCTCAAAGATGTCTTGACATAAATCAAGATGTATTCATGTGTTTCATAGATTACAACAAGGCCTTTGATAAAGTGCGGCATGATCACCTAATGAGATTCTTCTTCTTCATGTACCATGTCCTTTCAGAACGTTGGTTACCATCATAGCTATTTTAATTTTATTCACTGCCACCCTAAATAGCATGCTTGTATCTACACCATATCAGTCTCGCAAGTTCTTCAACCATGAGGTTCTTCTTCGTCCTGGACTGCGTTTGCCTGCTATTTTTCCTTGCATGATGTTTTGTAGCAATCTATATTTGGGACCTCTCATTACATGTCCGAAATATTCCAGCTTTCTCTGCTTGATGCTTTTTATGATCTCAGTAGTCTTGCTGAGACGTTCTAGTATTGTGGAGTTACGAATCTTCTCCACCCAGGAAACTTTTAAAATTCTTCTATAGCACCACATTTCGAAAGCCTCAAAGCGATTTAGATCGATTTTATTCACAGTCCAGGACTCGACAGCATAAAGTAAGACCGAGAACACGTAGCAGCGAAGTAGGCGGATCCTTAATGCCAATTTTAGGTCTCTGTTACATAACACCGTGGACATCCTTCTAAAA